CGAAACCTTATTCTTAGGATTTTCAATATTTTCTATTCTCTAGAATTTCCTCAGCCAAAAAATGAAGTTTCACACATATGTATAAAGCCAAATCTTTAAAAAAATACTTCACAACTATGAAGCGAGAGGGAAAGTGTGTTATAGTGTTCTTATCACCTAGATCTGTCAATCTATGGGAAAAAGGAAAGGATGGACATACCTCTATCTATGTTACTCAAACATGGACTTAGGAGCCAGTTTCCAAAACATGTCTAACATATAGATAGATAGTGGGATTCAATCAAGATAATACTGGGAAGGTCTATCCAAGTATTTGCTATTAAAAATGGAAATGTATGCAATAAGATATTTTACTTCTGCTATAAGGAAGCCATAATTATTATTGACTGTTAGAAGTGAAATCGGGTGGCTAAGGATGTGTCATTTGGGCACAAAGTCCAAAATATAATTTTTCACACTATGTGAGTGTGTGATTTTATATCTGATGGTTAAAGGTGATTGTGACCTCTTGTACCAAAAATGAATGATCTTATAACATAGAATTTCTTTACAAAAAAGGGAGATTATCAGGAATATACCTTAATTTTGGCCTAATTGGAAATAAAAAACCTCAACTTTTATAAACCTCGTCCACATTATTTTTCTTCTTTTTGGCATTTTTTACCAAAATAACATTCACGGTAGTCGTATTGTTGTAATTATTATTGCATTTTATAAGGTATTTAAAATGACATAATAATTTGAAGTATTTTTATGTTAAAATGCCTACATTACGGTACTTTAAGTATCGTAAACTATCGCATATTATATGGTATTTTAAATATCCTAACAACTTGAAAGTCTTATTGCAACACTCAAAATGCCGTAATACTTTTGTATTTAAAAAAATCCCCATGAAACACTTTTCTTCATTGCAGTTCTGTTTTTACCATTTTAGGGTGCTCTGTTCTGGCTCACAATTTCTAGAGGCTCAATCTCTCACTGGTCTCTGTCTCCCTCATTTTCCTCATCTTGTCAGATTCTTTGTTGTGGTAAGAAATCTTTCCCCCCTTTTTTTTTATTCAACATTGCCAATTTTAGTTTTTTTTTTTTTTGGGCAAATTATGCGATTTTTCCATTATTTTTTTGCTTGTTTTGGAATAGGATTTTGGTTTTGGGATTTTAGGGTAAATTGGATGAGTTTTTCAATTATAAGTTTGTTATATTAACCCTCCAACAATGCACTCGCTATGAACATCCATCTGCAGCGCACCTTGCCTATACACGTCTCTCCTCACTTTTTACAAACTTCGTATTGAAGTTTTATGATATTACATAATCAATCAGGTGATTACGGCATGCCTGTACGTCATCAAAATTATGACCATGTTGAAGTACAACTTCGTAATGATCAATCCTGATGGGGCTTTCTATCGAATTGATGTCGTCGATATGGCGCTCGATTTCTGAATCATGCTCATCTTTTATGCCTATGTCAGCAGTACTTTCATTCTAAACTACTTGCTTTGGTCGGGTTCCACTGTTGAAAAGAAATATTAAAAGAACAAGAGAATTATCCTAACACATAATATCTACTCTAAAAAGTCAAATAAAAAATAAATTTCATCAGTGCAAACTTTTTACATGGCCAATCTTGATGGATCATTATCGAGCACTGTTGGTGGTTGATATTTAGTGGAGTCCTACTCAATAGGTCTATTATATACGCACATAGCAATGGGAGAAGACCTATCCACTATATTTGCAATGTCATCATCATCGTTAATAGGTACCATATTCCTGGTACTTGGTAACCCTGTATCAATATACCTAATAGTCATGGTACTTTTGACATAATTTGTTACTTTTAATAAGTGAGCTTTTACTTGGTCGAAAGATGGGATCCCTCTAAAAATACAACCTTCAGGTCCCCATCATCATAGAAAATACATCAATCATTAGAATTCCTCTTGGAGAACCATCAAACTGTAAAACGATTTTCACTATGTCATCACCTGTTATTGGTGCATACAAGCCCAATTACTACTGAGATCTCCAATTTAAAAGAAATTTTTTAGATTAATAAAACATTGGAAGATAGCAATGCATGTATAAAGGTTTCAAAATATTTATATATAATGAGGTACCAAGGGATATTACATTGCAATACATATGCCACAATATAAATACAGATCTAAAACTTATTTACGCAATATTTTAAACAAAAAAATTACAATGGCTAACCCAAATACATCAAGTACTATAGAAAAAACAACATAATATTTGTTAAAAAATGTGGTCATCGCACATCCAAGGAAATATAATTAAAAGCTTAACGATTTTGATGACATACCTATAAAATGGTGTAAGTATGTATATTTGATGCTCATGGATTGAGAAATAACTCTCAGAGACCTCGTTCAGAGTTTGAGAAATAAAAGGAAATAATAGAAAATGGATGAGAGATTAGACAGACAGGAGGATAAAGAAGAGAGAGAGAGAGAGGAGGCTAAAGAAGAGAGAGAGAAATAGAGGATATGAGGCTAAGGAAGAGAGATATGTGGTTAAGAGAGAGTGAGATGGGAAAATAGGGTTTTAGGATGAATAAAATCATGTTAAATATAAAAATAATGAAATTAATCAAAATGATAAATCTAATAATGATTGTCTTTTAATGATTTGAATATTGGATGAATTATCTAAATTAAAAGTGTGATTGGAATCTTGGGTCTTTCTTCTCATTACATAAAGTATGTAACATACATCTCAAAATGTATAATCTTGGAGGAAAATGAACAAGTTGGTATTGTTTTGTTTTGGAAAATTATTAGGTAAGCCGCCTAATTCATATGTTATCTTGGTTTCAAGGAATTTAGGATCCACAACAATTCCCAAGTCAGTGTAAACTTGGATTAGTCGTGCAGATCATTCATCCACAAGTGTTAGGATGCTGGATTTGCAATCTGCATTAGATTTGGATTGGTCTGAGTCGGTGATCCAAAAGAGACCAATAAATAAAAATAAAATAAAATTTAATCAAGATTTTAAGGGTGGTGATTTAGGAGGGACCTAATAAAACATTAACAAAGTTTAGAAAAAGACAAAAAGAAAAAAAGAAGAAGAAGAATGTATGCAATAGGAGTTTTAGTGGGGACTTAGCCTAGACCCATTACCATCCTAACCAGTGGTTTAAAAATCGCCGAGTCAGAACGGACTCGGGCGATTCAACATGGGAATCGGTCACCTCGTGTCGATTCTAGCTCAAAATAGGAAACTACTCATGTTTAGAAAGGAACCGGGCGAGTCGGGCGATTTTGCTATAGTAGACTTGCCGATTCCACCAAGTTTCTACGATGAATAATGAAAGTTGAATGATTTGAGCTCAATGATAAGACTTTGAAGCTTTTTGATTATTTATTTTAACAAACTCGAATCTTTGCAGCTTTCACAGAAAGAATTTATAGTCTTATTGATCATTAAAACCAAAACCACCATCGATTTGAAGCTACAAATTCACGGTTTTGTGAAGAACATAAACCATTTTGAAAAAAATCCGCCATTTCATCGATTGCAGACAAAATAGGGCATGATTTGAGATCAAATCAAATGGCTTTTGATTTCGATAGTATCATTGATAAGAAATTGTAGCCTATTTTTGGGTTTTTTTGGTCGATTACTGGTGGATTTGTGATTTGAACTCACGGTTTTTGAAGAACAGGTAAGGGATTTTTTTATCAAATCAGAGGTTTTTTTTTTTATCTTAATAGTATTATGCACAATATATTGTAGTCTATTTTTAGTTTTTGTTGTCGATTACTGGTGTATTTGTGATTTGAAGTTACGGTTTTTCAAGAACAGGTTAGGGTTTTCATTTTTTTGCTATTTCATCGATTGTAGACGAAATAGGACACACTTTTTTATCAAATCAGAGGATTTTTTTATCTTAATAGTATTATTCACAAGATGTTATAGCCTATTTTTGGGTTTTTTGTGTCGATTAATGGTGTATTTGTGATTTGAAGTCACAGTTTCTCAACAGGTTAAGGTTTTCATTTTTCCATCATTTCATTGATTGTAGGCTAAATAGGGCACGTTTTTTTACCAAATCAGATGATTTTTTATCTTAATAATACTATTCACAAGATATTGTCGCCTATTTTCAGGGTTTTTAGTCGATTAATGGTGTATTTTTGATTTGAAGTCCTAGTTTCTCAAGAATAGTATATGGTTTTTTTTTTCTTCCACAAAGCTAATGTTTTCAGTCGAATTAAGGCATTATTTTGAATGATTTCAGAGGGTTTTTTAAGATATAATGTTATTTAGATAATTGTTATTGTTATTTGTGTGATCAACAAAGTTTTGTTGGTCGAATTTTGAAAAAATCGTATTATTGGATTTAATTTTTAAAATAATTTAATGCAAATGCGTATTATAAAATTTTAGGTTCTTTGACTAATTAATTTCAAACAATTGTTGATTAAAATTGTGAATTAATCTCTGGTGCCCACTAATTTAGATGATTTTTTCTTAAATCAAGTAAATGAATTGTCATGCGAATTCAATCAGTGGCACCAACGTGACTAAGATGAAAAACAACTTCGTCTTTAGTGTAGTCCATACATGATTATATACTTCATGCATGATAATTCTATACTTCGTCTTTTGTGTGATGTAAATTTAATGGTTAACAGTAGTTTATACAAGAAAATAACTTCTCAATATTCATATATTGATGCAAAAAAATGAAAGTTATTAATGTAATACCTTTATTTTTTATTGAATTCTTAAAAACCAACATTTTCAATGATTTTTAATAATTTTTTTAATTTTTTTTAAAAATCGAATACGATCGATTTGACCATTTCTCAATCCGATTCACCGATCCAAATGGTTTTTTAGGAATATCCCATGGGGGTCCGACCCTTTTTTTAAAGCATGACCCTGACCGCCTTCTAAATCGGTGATTCATATTGGAAGACAGAGCGTACGCTCAAATCATGCGTGTCCGAAAGCGGTCCATGGCTCTTGCTCTCTCGGAAAATCATACGTATAAGAAAGCGGTCCGAGGCTCTCCCTCTCGTAAACGAACCGCGCTCTCTTTCTACCTTACCGCCTTTGCAGAACCAAACCCGTCGACCCCGTATGCCATGCTTCCATTTTAAGCCTCCTCCTCTAGACCTGGATTTCTCTGGCTTTCGCTTAAACCAGCCATGAATATTTTGGCTGCGCTTTATTTCTAATCAGTGTTTTCCGCCATGTTTGAGGGCCTGGTTCGCCAGCTTTTGGCTGGTTATGGTCTTGGTCGGTACTTCAAGGATATACAAAAGGAACTGCAGTTTAAGATTGAATTAGGGAAAGGTATACTGATCCTTTGTTGTGTTCTATGATTTCTATTTTTCAAATTGCTTCACTGTTGTTAACAACTGACATCGAAGAGTCAATTCTCAACAGACATCCAATTGGTGAATGTAGATCAGCGTGCTCCAATGAATGGCTAAATGTTTTTGATTTTGAAACTTGTATTGGAATTTTATGTATATGGTGTTTTTCTTAAGAATCAAGATGCTGGAGTTAGTGATTTCGCAAGGTGTGATTGTAATGGAGTCTTTAGGTTATTGTATTTACAATTGAGAAGTGGAATTTACCATGACAGAGAGGAAATGGATGGATGCTGTTCTATTTACTGATAAACTGTATTCCGTGGGGACTTATATTTACGAGACTGTGTGGGCAAACATTCATGTGATACTGTAATTGTTGATATGGTTTTGTTCTTTGTCCATTATGCAGGAAAAGCATCGCTAGACAATGTGGCCTTGATTCCCGAAGCATTTGACTATCTGCAGCTTCCTTTTTCTATAAAGGAAGGTAGGATCGTCACATAATAAATTGTTTTAGGGTTGCATCTTTTCTCTCTTATTTTGCTATTTATTTTAAAAAATTCCTTTTACCGCCGAGGTATGTATCGTGTGACTTTTATGACAGTCTGTCAATAAATGCTTGTGAGTCATTTGATCAGAAAGTTATGGGATGTTGTAGCTAACGTTCTGCAAATCAAAATTTATAAAATTTTGTAGAATTTTATGCTGACTTGGTTCTTGAGAGAGCTGTTTGTTAGTATAGATGGCACATGCATACCTATTTGAACTTTTTTTATGCATACCTATTTGAACTTTTGTACATGGCTCATGTCTTTTGTTTTATTTATTTATTTTTTGAAATATCATTAATGCTTGAAAGTTTTATTAATTTGAAATAAAGATAAAAAAAAAGGTCCTGACATCACCAAGGAGATTCCGAGGTAGTCGTTGGCTATGAATAGACTTGGGTTATGAGCTCATCAAGTTTCTTATTAGTGGGCATTTTGAGTGTATTTGTCTCCCAAACTATATATTCCTTGTAATATGTCACATTAGATGAATCTTGATTTGATCTCTTTTTGGTGTGTTTCATGGAAGTTTATGTACTTATGTGGATATCAAAGGTATATATGTCCTGCTCTTGTTCTTGAACCAAGTTTTGATTGTTTCCTCCTCACATTAAGTACCACAAAAGCACATTTCTTCTCGTATTTCTTATGATTTGTTAGCCCTTGTATGTAATAGTGGTATAAAATGGCTAATTTATGTTTTAAAGGCCTTTTTATTTTTTGGTTCTTGTTGGAACCTTATTGAGATGATGCATCGGTAGTTGTTAAGATCCATAAATTACATTATCATCTGGCATCATTTGGTTGGCAGTGTTGTGCACATGTCAAACATGTATGTGTCCTACCAAGATCCATTACATCGACGACAAGATTTGCACCATTGATGAATGGGCTTTTCTGCTTATATTTCTTGGATACGCCTAAATCTGGGATTCTTTTTGTTGCATCGCTGTTTAACATGTATGTGTCCTACCATGTTCCTTTACATCGATGACAAGATTTGGACCATTGATGAATGGACTTTTTCTGCTTATGTTTCTTGGATACACCTAAATTTGGTATTCTTTTTGTTGCATCGTTCTTTATTTGTGTTCTAATCTCAAAACAAGGCAATGGCAGGACGGATTGGGAACTTGAGCATTCAAATACCATGGAAGAAACTCGGTTGGGACCCTATCGTGATTGAGCTAAAAGATGTATTTTTATCTACCTGTCCACGTGATGATGCTGAGGTACTAAATTGATTCTGTAGTGTGAAAATTATGAATGCTTTGTTACAGTTAACAGTTTAAAACAATATAAAAATTATGAATGCTTTGTTTCTCTTGAAAAGCGTATGATTTAATTACATTTATGCACTGAAGCATCTTAGCTATAGATCTATTCTTTACTCATTGGTTATTTTGTCCACCAAATCCTTTATTCGGAACTTGTTAATTGTCATTTCTCTTTTCTTTATTTGTGTCATCGGTAGTATGCTCAAGATGCAGTTGAAAAAAGAGATATTGCTAGCAAGAGAGCTAAACTTGCTGCAGCGGAGTTGGCAAAGCTATCGAGACGTGTCTCTAGTGAGTTCTTTCAGTTTCCAAATGCTACATTGACAGTGATGATCAGAATTTATTACTATGTTCTAATTTTGAGAGTTTAGAAATGCCATTGATGGATGAAATGCAATGAAGTTCGTAAAGAATATTCTCTTTTCAATGGGTTGATAATGCCATTGTCATGTCATAAACTGTCTGTGCCGTTGCAGTTGGTCTATTGATTCTGTTACAAATGACCATCTATTTGTTTGGAAACAGATGAAAATACAATTTGAGAGCTCTGACTTTCGAAAATGATTTAGCTGTTAAACTATAGATTTTTGATGCAAATAAATTCAAGAGATGTACTCGTATTTTTTAATTTTCAAAATTTTATTATTATTATATTTTTATGGAGAGTTTTTAGCGGGTTGTGCTTATTTATTAATTTATTTATGCATGAGGTTTAATTTTGGGAATTGGAGAAATGAAAAGGGATTTTTATTTCATATTATGGGCATGCATTAGGTTCTAGTTTCTTTACGAGGGCATGCCACATTCCTACTTCCTATGGTGTTTTTGGAAGTCCTCAATGTGTCATATAGAGGCCCTATTTTTATGGATATTGTAGAGGATTTTTCCATAAGACTGGAAACGAGGATGGGGAAGTATGGAACTTTTCTTGAAGAGATAATCCTATAAAAGAGGAACGAGGGGGAGGGAAAATAGAGTTACATAGAGATAAAGCTGAATTCACATAAGGAGTCCTAGAATGCAGAGAGTTTAGTAGAGAGTAGAATATGTGTGCGTTTTAAGGAGTAGCTGCTGGGTCCGTAGAGCCGTGGATTGTTAGAACCTCCTTGTGGTTAGGATCGTCGTTCGTGCAATCCTACGGCAAGGGAGCACGATCCTTGTCATAGGGGAGCACAATTCCATGAGGAAGGAGTCACAATCGTATGTTTTGAGGGATCGCGAATGACACATGGGTTGACAGTACCATTGGCCACAAACCTAAATCATTGCATATGAATTAATGCTGAATAGAGAAAACATCACATGCACTGCATCATACACTTGAGAATCGCTATTCAAATCCGTTGCCTTGAGAACGAGGATCACTATATATGGATCCTCGTTTCATTTAAGATCCCTAGCTGGAATCACTAGATTAAGGTTTTGGAGCGGGTTCGTGACCTGTATAAAATGCCAACAACTATGTTTTGGACATTTATTTGTTATTTATTTTTATTTTATCTTATTTAAAATGACTTGTATAAAAAGAATTTTCGGACGTCCTATAAAATGGAGAGCGGACTTTTTCAGGAGGGGACTTAAATGGCTATGGAGGGAAGGACAGTAGAGAATATGAAGTGGTAAATATGGGATATAGTTTTGGGAAAAGAAATGAGATAGATGAGGCTATTATAGATTTTGCTATGGCCTATGACCAGCAATAGCAAACATTTACTTTAAAAAACGGAATGAACATTTACAACGTATGAAAGTGGATCATATAAAAGCCAGATGGAATACTTTCTAGTTAAGAAGGTAGATTTTCCATCATGTAGAGACTGTAAGGTTATTCCAGGAGAGAGCTTGACTACGCAAAATAGGCTCATGGTTATGAATGTCTGCATAAAGAGATGGAAGAGGAGTGAAATCACTAAGTTTCAAAGAACTAGGTGGTGGAATTTTAAAAAGGTAAAAATAGACTTATTTAGTGATAAATTGGTAAAAGAAGGGAAATGAAACTCCAATACAAAGTTAATATTGTGCAGAATGAAATGGATGACTATGTTAAGAAAGTGACAAAATAAGTTTTAGGAGAATCTTGAGGGAAAAGAAATTCCGATGGGGAAACTTGGTGGTGTGATGAGGTTCAGAAAGCTATTAACAAAAAATGATCATGTTATAAAACTTGGCAGTGTAATAGAAATCATCAAAACTTAGACGAACATAAAAATGCTAAGAAAACACTAAGAATTAACAAGGCCAAATTTAAAGTTTATGGTAATCTACACAATAAATTAAAAACAAGATAAGGTGAAAAAGGTGTCTTCAAACTAGCAAAAGTTAGAGTGGAAATTTACGAAACTACAGATCTAGACCATATTAAATGCATTAAGAGTAAGGATCATAGGGTCTTGATGATGGATGACGAGATCAATAAAAGTTAGAGATTTTATTCTCGAAACTTGTCAAATGACGAACATAATGGGAAGGCAACGCTAGGAGGAAACTGGTTAATAAAAATTATGCACAAGTTTTTTAGAAAAATAGGTTGTAGGAAACTGGTCTTTTTCTTTTTTTCCTTTTTCGATTGGTTATATAAATATATCTTATCTATTGTTTTTAGTCTTCTAAAAATTGGTTGCAACAAATTTCACGATTTTTAAATACTATGGTTTTATTCAAATTGATAATATTTTGAATATGTTCCTTTTTTCAAAGTTGTATTCTAACAAAAAGTTCCCTTTTTTTAATCTTTAAAGCACTATCATTGTTCCATTTTTTCCTTCACAGTTGCAAATCAAAATTTCCTTAAAAAATCATTTGTACGTTTTCGTCTTTCATAAATCATTTATTTCAAATTTTTATACTTCAATAAAAAATAATATTTCAAACAAGCTTACCATTTTTTTATCTTTTCACTTTGTAATTTATACTTGTTTGTGTACTCAATTATTATGAATGATTTTAATTTTTAATTACAATTTTTAAATTATTGTTAATAATGGGGTGACTACAAAAAAAGCAAACTAGCCTTTTTTTTTTTTAATTTTTTTTATCTAATTTATATTTAGCTTGTGTTGTATTTTAGGTGGCGGAGTATGGTGTATTAGGGAAAATATTATTGTTTATTTTATGGAGTTCGTGATGTGGTGCTAGTGTGGTACTTGTGGTGGCTACAACATCACGGTGGTGATAGTGTGGTGGACGTGGTGGGAGTAGTGGGATGATGGTGGCCATCTTGATGGTCTGAAGTAATGTTTTAAAAAATTGGTGATTTGGATCAGAACCGGCTGATTTGGATCGGGAATTGGTTAGGCCAATCTGAATCTTGCTAAATATCGGGAACCGATCGGTTCATCCCATGAATAACTGGTTCCTGATGGAATTGACTTGTTCTACTAGGAACTGGCCAGATTCCAAAAAGCGTTTGTTTTTTTTTATAATTTTATATTTTCTTTTTTGAAAATTGTATTTTATAAGATACCATTGTGAGAAGTGGCCTTGCAAAGAGGTGTTTTTTTATGTTAGTCTTTATTTTTTGTTTCTTACTCATATCGTATGATATTCTAAACTTTATGAGAATTGGGTCCACCAGTTTAAAGAGAAGTGGTCCCACAAGCTTTTGCTACATTCCTGTCCCTTGATGCTCTTCTATAAAAGAGAAGTGGTCCCACAAGCTTGGGATCTTCCTTTTAAGCAGTCGAAAAGAAAATGGGTTCAGTCCTATATACTGTGAAACGGGTTGTTGAGTTTCTTTGAGTTTTATAAGAGAGAAATGCACGAAAATGGGTTGTTGAGTTCCTTTGAGTTTTATAAGAGAGAAAATTAAATTAAAGCATCACCCTCTTCCAGTGACGTTTTGTACAAGAGAGAGAGAGGGAGAGCGAGAGAGATATGAGCATAGCAAGTGCAATATTGCTAAACGATCATCAAATTTACTAGTTTTTTTTTTTAAAATCTTATAATATAGAATTTTTTTATTATTATATCAACTATCTACCATGTTAATATATCATGTTTTCTCTTAAGATGGATCATTTAGATATCAAAATGAATGTAATGTAATATTATAATTATTCATTAATAATACAAATCTTGTAATTTATTAATCAATTTATCTATATTCTAAATTACATAATGTGTTATTTTTAATACAAATGTAAATAAGAATTTTTTATATTAGAAGTTATTATATAACTAAATTTAAATTTAGCTAAATAATTATAACCTTACAAGTCTAATTTTATAATATTATAGTGTTATGTTATATTTGCATATGAGATTTGAAATATTCAATATTTGAAAATAATATAGATGCAAGAATATAAAGGAAATCACGTTTCAATGAAATTTTTAAATGAAGGTTAACTTAAATGGACTAACTTTTAAAATTAGTAAGGTGTAAGAACTGTGCCGTCTTTCCTTTTGGTATTAGATTGTATTTAAATGATTGTATGCTCCATTTTGGGCCATGTATTCATGTCCATGATGATTGTATGCTCCTTTTCTCCACTGATGTGAATATAATGGTCAATAGACATCTTGACAAACAACATTTCAATAGTCGTGTATTTTTGCAAAATAATTGAAGCACATAAGACACCGCCATCAATTTTTTGAAAACTAAAAAAACAATATTTTTAGGGATTTTTAGTATTTTTTGGATTTTTTTTAAAGCTGGATTCGGCCTATCTAATCGATTCTCCTATTCGGACTGCCAATCCATCGATTTGACCTGGTTTTTTGGATGGATGATCCAGGTCATCGATCATCATCATCAGAGCTTTTTCCTAACTAATTGGGGTAGACTACACAAGTCCTGGTCTGCTGTTATGCTCTACCAAGGGCCATAACCTCAGTGAGGCCATAAGTCCCCATATATTTTTTATTACTTCAAACCATATCCTTTTGGGCTTACCCTTGTCCTTTTTGAGCCTTCCACTTGAATCGACTCGTACCTCTTAAAAGGTGCTGTACTGGTTTTGCGTTGTATATTGCCAGCCCACCTAAGTCTACTTTCTCTCATCTTATCCTATTGGCGCCACACCTTAGGTCTCCCAATATATCTAGGTCTTGGGTCCATTTTGTAAAACATTGGTTTGAAGATAGTTATGGTGTTGCTTATCTCTCTTACACATGTTAAGCTCTTGTGTGCGGATTCTTGAGATTTGGATGCATGTGTATGCGTGCAGTCATGAGGATACATATCCACTCATATTGGCATAAATACACATAATTCGCAATATCTAGTATATATTAAACGAGAAGGAGACTCATGTTATTCTATGACACGTGTCCCTCTCCTTATTTTCTCCCTTTCTAAAAAATGGTTCAATTGTTGTCTCTCTTTCCAACAGTTTCAAAGCCAAAGGTTCCCACCTCCTTAAACTAAATATCTACATAACTGTTTGCCTCTCTCATTTCTTTCTTCCCTCTTACTCATCCCTCTCTCCTTAAATCTCTTTAAATCTCTCTTTCTTTATCCCTCCTTAAGTCTCTCTCCTCTCCTCCTTTCACTCCCTCTCTCCCTCTCCCTCTC